TAATCTTTAATATATTATTTTTCTTTTGTTATTGAAATTTATTTCTTATTTCACTACGTCACACTAGGTATCTGTTGTAAGAAGAAGCAATTTCGCTCTTTATTTACCACATTTACAAAATAAATAAGTTAGTTAATGCCTAAATTCATGTATCGGTTCTCGAACCATCAGTCCCGCTCTTCCGTATGAGCACGCAAATTTCGATAGACGAATTTTGATATTCATTTTTCACCATCTAGCAGAGAAAGAACGTATCATTTCGGCCTACGAAACAAGTTTGAATTCAGCTGAGAGGCTTCTTTTAACTTGTCTCGGGAGAGCAAAATACGGAGCCACGAACGTTTACAAAGACAGCCGAGTAGAGTCGACAAATGATTCTTACACGCCAAATGGTTTTTCACTTATTTTTACAATTATTGATATAAGTCAAATGATTTTTTAAGGCGAGTATTCGCATAATATGCGTTGGACAGACTCAAGGATGTTTTAGGCGAAGGCCGAAGGGGCGAGCCTCGTCTTGAACTTGGACACGCGTAGAGAAACGTCACAATTCCGCGGGAATACTTCTGATTCAAACTCTAAAACAATGTAAATGACTCGTGTCTCCGTAGAGCAAAAGCTGTGCGATCGCTCGTCTCCGCTCGGCGACCTTCGTGTACCTCGTGGCTCCGCATTTTGCTTTCCCGAGACAGAAGTCTTCTTTTGTGGTTGAGGAGAGTTACATGCAGTAAATCTACAACATGGGGTAGCCGGCTTTACGACCCCTCCGAAGGAAGGCGTACGAAGGATTTTTTCGCCAGACAAGAAGAAAAACTTCACGTACATAATCGAGAGCACGGTAACAAAGTTGATATCTGGTAGTGTGCTGAACGAACGGTTCCTATTACATAAGTCGAATAATTTGAGAGGATGTATTGTTGGAAGATTTTTAAAACACCTGCAGATAAGATAGATTATATGAACCTAAGCATTACATTTTGATCCATTGATAGGAGATACACACAAGCGCGCCAGCTCAAGGGTTAAAACATACATTAAAATATGTACAAACATAAAAAAAATGACAGACTTGTATAAAATAGTATTCTAACTGAATATTCAAACCGCTGATTAAAAGATTTGACGGAACGTTTTTGTAACGGATAAATTTAATACGTAATGGCATAATATATTCAATTTTTACCGCAATACTAGAATCTAATGCATGCAATAAGTAACTGACAATTTCGATGTTAGTTGTGGAAATATTTTCGTAACGTATAAATTTGAAATGCAACCAAACGGATAAGTAAATGCTGTATGTTAACGGATGCATGGAAGCAATGAAGTCGGCGCTGCTGAACAGTGCGCGGTGTCACGGCTCGCCAGGGCGGAGCCTGGCAAAAGCAGTCTGGAACGCGAGCACCCGTATAAACAAGGATCCCCGGGCGCCTCAGCAGACGGCCTGGTTTTGCGAGTGAGCAGCTGAGTGCTTACAGTTGATATTGTAATTCGGTCTACGCCGACAGTACCCGCTTTTGGTTATTCTGTTTGGACTTTGGTGACTTCGGCTAAGAACAGGTAATTATCGTGGGGGCAATGACAGTGCTTTGCTTACTGGAGCATCGTAATAGTTTAATAAATAGTATAAGGAAGGTTCTTTCATGTGAAAATTAATTTTGTTCTGATAGTATTTTTTATGCCTTTTGTCCAAAACAGTACTTACTTTCCCAACCCGACTAGTATTTTAAGATCTGTCTTGTAAATATCTAGGAAAAATTTGTAATAGAAAATTGGGATGGGAAATTCATGTACACTTAGTCGTAGGGAAAGCATGGATGTCATCGCATTTTACGATGCGGATACTCAAAAAGAGTTCTGAAAGCAAGATAATTAGCGTATTTATTTCTTGTTCGTACATTGATTGAATGTAGGGCACTTTGTTAGAACACAAAGAAATTTGCGAAAGGGATTTTTTTTTTGTTATTTAAGATCGCATCTAGGACATTAGCGACCACTATTGCATTTAACGGTATGGTAACGGAAGATCACATGATATGGTGATGTTAGGGGATGAAAGGACGAACACAAATACGACCAATCGTCTAGAAATCCGCGGCGGCGGTGGTGTAAGCGGCGGCGGTGGTGTAATGGTTAGCGTACTGGACTGTTGTACCCAAGTTGGCGGGTTCAAACCCGATCGAAGCCGTGGATTTTTAAGGGCGAAAAAATCCTTCATACGCCTTCCTTCGGAGGGGAAGTAAAGCCGGCTGTCCCATGTTCGTAGATTTACTTGCATGTAAAAGATCCTCAAGCCTAAATGACGCCTCTGAGCTAAATTCAAATCGCCTGTTTCTCGCCCAAGAAATACCTTCTTTCTCTGCTATATGAAAGGAGCGTAGCGAAATTTGCGTGGTCAGACGGAAGAGCGGGCCTGATGGCCCGAGTCTCGCCACGTAAAATAAGGCATATTCAATTCAATTCAATTCAATCCCACTTTGGTTTGTGAGCTAACATTTAGGCTTGGACCAAGCCAGGCTAACCAAGTAAGGTCAGGCACGGACGTACATTTACGCCACTCACTGCCAAAAGCAATCCCCAAGGAAACAGACTATGTAATTGCAAAAATAACTTTATTTACATTATTAGCTATGTTTATCAATAACCTTCGTAATATTAATGTATAAATTTGTACAATTGCTCTTGCAATACAATTAGCATACTGTGAGATATGCGAGCATCAAATACATGCATGTCTTTAAAAAACAGATGTTTTGTCAAAGAAATATTTAAACAGTATTAAAATAGTGTGGCATTTTCTACTGGAAACATTTTTTTTCGGGAAGATAAGTGAAGTTAAATTTTCTTAAGTAAACAGGACGAAATTTCAAGCAACATTGTTTCTATTTCATTTGTAGAGTATTGAACCAGTTTTCACCAATCAGACTGCTCAAGAGAGCTCGACAGATCAACATGTTTCTACGCCCCAAGGCCATAAGGTTTCTTCGAATTCGTCTTCAAATAATAATTTCCGGCAGTTCTGAAAAAAGGAAAGCTAAATTACAATGTGAAGATAGTCGATTAGTACAAATAAAATGTATGAAGAAATTATATTACGAGGAATATTTTAGGGCTTGGAGGAAAAACAGATGAGTGTGCAAGATGTACTTTTTGAATTTACGTTATGGTCATTACTAGAGAGTAAATTAAATGTGATTATGAAGTAATGATATAATGTAAGTGTAGGATCGATGATTGAAGAATATTCTCTTTAGTAGCTTTACTTTTATTTGTTTTATTGATGATTTTAGGTTTAGTATAGTATACGTGTTAGCACTAGAGTTAGTTTATACATAATAACTTGATGCATTTAAATAACGAGGAATAAGTGAAGTGTGATGCCTACAATCGAGACGATGAACATTACTGCGTGTGTAGAGGCAGTTGATTTTCATCGTGTGTTTCACTAATATATTGTTTTATATTATATTTTCTGACGTACCAGGAGTTGCCCGGGTACAAAAAAGGAGAGAAAAAGCGACGAGTTCATTTACAAGGTATTCCCGCCTACCCTACATGCCCATCTACAGGTTCGCCCTCTTCCCTCTGCTCCACCCCACCTCGTTCTGTGTTCCGTCCTGCTTCGTGCCTACGATTATCGTTGCTACTGCTATTGTTGCTACGAATAGTTGATAACATCGTCCGGCAAACTTCCAGTAACAATTTTGATCTGCAATTACTCAAATCCTAACCTTTAATAAAAAAGAATGAAAATTCATTTTGTTGAGAATTTTACAGCGTTTTAGAAAATTTTAATTCCTTTTGATTAATTTTATACCCTTTTTAAATATTTCTGAAAAACTGAGAGTACACATGTAAAATTTGCCTAAGATGGTAAAAACAGTTATTTTCATATCGTCTAAATAAGAATGTAAGGTATTAAAAAGTTATTTTGAAATCACATGCAAATATCTAATTTTATTTATAAAGAAAGACACTGTAACTTTAATTTTATGTATTGGTGAATGTGTATTTTTATTACTAAATCAAATACTCAATCTTACTTAAATGTGTGCTAAAGAAGTTCTAAAATAAAATTTGTAATTTCTTTAAAAAATGTATTATTTAAATATCCGTAATTTATCACAATGCATAGCTCCAGCTAAGTTATGGGGTAGAGTTTCTAAAAAGTATTTATATATTAAATATCGAAAAGAAGATATAAGAAGAGAAAAATCAGAAGTATCTCATGCATTTTTTATGAGACTATTCGAATATTTCTTTCTCTAGAAATTTAAGCTGTTTTAAAGTATACCGCTGAAAATAGACTATTTGTAAACAAACACGTACTCTGCTGGAGTCCATTCGCCCATTACAGCCTGGGGGTAGTGGTCGCAGTTGCCCTTTTTGTATGCTTTGTACGAGTGGCACAGAGTACCAATGAACTCGTTGTTTATTATAGACTCCGCATAGAAAGGAGGCGCTCTGTTATGGCTGCAGGCTCCTGAAAATAAAGATACATTACATTTTGTCAATAAGTCTTCATGTAATAAATGTTGTCGTTTGTCGCAGAAACAAGTAACAGTATGTTCATTCATGATGATGAATGAAAAGTCAGTGTTTGATATATATGTTGAGTTAAGAAATAGTGTCCATTGAAACTTTACTTAATATACAATGCATTGAGTTTTTATAAAGAGAATCAATCGTAAACACAATGAAATATAATCAATAGTGACAACTTATTACATAAAGACTAACTTTTCTACAATTCTTTAAATAGTGACCCTTCGTGCAGTTTATTTCCTCGCTGTGGCAACGCTTGTCAGAGAACATACTATCAAAAACTCTGAAGTTGGATAAAAAGGTCTCAGGATGGTGTGTTGAGTTACCAAGGTACAGACGAGGTCACAACACTGAACACAAAGCAAAACAAAACACAACAAAGTTGAATTACATTTTATTTCATCTATTCTACACATAATGCCGGTAAGATCAATAGAACATGACCAAAATGTTCACTCTGCGTTGCCCGATCTATTGTACTGACGCACTGTAAAGTCGAGGACGCAGTCCAGACTGGCTGTGGACCACAATTGGGGAAGAAATCCACGTGACCCAAGGGGTCATCCCAGCCGAGGAGGCCGCCGTTGGTGTGGATGCCCTGCACGATCTTAGCGTCGGTGGGGTCCAGGCGGTTCTTCTCGGAGGTGGTGCCGAAGAGAGGCGCGGCGGCGTCCAGACCTACAAAGCAACGCGACGCTCCGTAAGCTGTTAGCCTCCGAGATTCAAAAACCCGTGGCTTATTAAGCAGGCTACTATGTATAATTTAGTTTATCTGGATTTCTTATACTTATGTATTTTTAATGTACGATGCTTGTATACATCAGAACTAGTTTTCTACATCGTTCACAGCAAAGCCTAGACAATGAACCCTCAACAAACTTACATCTCTAAGCAGCGAATTAAGTTATATAATACATTATTTTCAATTATGGATTTGATAAGCTGTCATATTCAGCATTCTACAACTAGTTACGTTCTCAACGGTAATAAAAAAATTGTTCTCATTATTGTTTCGAAAGAGCCTTGGAGAAGATATTGAAAAAAGTAAAGAGGACGAGAACGCGTGTGGGAAGGAGGAAATAGGGGAATAAAACTGATGTATTGGGAACTGTATAGATGTTGGAATATGCATTTGAGCTAGTGAGCATAAAAGTGGAAGATGGCAGGGAGTTGTTCCGTGGTTAAGGTACTGGGAGATTTAGTGAACGAGGGTCAGTGTGGTTGAGTAGTCGAGTAGTGACATGATGAAATTCATAAATGAACTGTAACGAAATTATCAAAGGGACAAGTGCAGCAGAGTGCTCCTAGGATAGTGGGCGACGAATGCCTTCGTTGAGGCGCGTGTGTTAACGGAACGTACGATTTAGAGAAGAGAGCTGAGAGTTTAATCCGGGCTAACAGGTAGATCCACATGTTAAGACGGAAAGTGAGAGTAAAGCGGCCTACAGACGATCCAATCTATAGTACAAGAAGTTGTACAACCTTGGTTCGTGCAATCATCAGAACGATAATTGCAACGTTAGTGGATTGTTGTATAATCGATTGTTTAAAACGGTTGAATTGTACGGAAGTTTAGCATGCTTAAAAATCTGTAGTACTTCTCGATTGGAATACAACACTTTTGAACGTGTATTTGTGTTCAGACTCGAACCCTTGTTATCCATGACGAGTTTGTTAGCGCTTGGTAGAGATTTTTATGATCGTCTCTTAATAAAATAATATAAACCAATAGCAACTATTGGACAGAATTTATAGAAATGTATCGTGAACATTCGTGCTTATGGAATGTGAAAAGTAGTGAATATTCCAATAAACACAACCATTTATTGCATCACTGTTTTTTCCTTCTTTTTCGCGACATAAATATCATTTACTAAATATAAAACAAGTAGAACAGTAATTTGCTTCCTTGAAATGGCTGGTGCCATCGCAAACACGATACAAATAAAAATAATTTTAAAAAATAATTGAAAAATAAAAAATAAACAAATTAAAACAAAAAAATTTAAAAAAAAATGAAAATAATGCCGGCCCCGTGGTGCCACGGTTGCGGCAGCAATCGCCTGCGTCTACGAGACTGCAAGTTTGAGTCCTGCGTAGGCTTGCTCATATTTTTGATTGTCCTTTCACCCCTCATTATCATCCTATCACCTCATAATTCACAATTCAAAGCGTAACAACCGTGCATCACCAAGGGATACACCTGAAAATATGATCCTCATAGTTACACGCAATCGTGTAGCCTGGGTCGGAATTGGCCGATAGGCATATAATAATAGTAATAGTAATAATAATAGTAATAGTAATAGTAATAGTAATAGTAATAATAGTAATAGTAATAGTAATAATAGTAATAGTAATAGTAATAATAGTAATAGTAATAGTAATGTTAATAATAGTAATAATGTTAATAGTAATTATTGTTAATAAATGTATTACTAATCGCTTGGGAATGCTTACACGTCTGTGGGCAAAAGGCTTGTGCATTGGGCTCTTCCGTTTACAGTGTAACTGGTTGTACAATTTGTTGTACTACACGTTGTACAGTCAGTGGGCCGCTTAAGCCAGCAACTCACCGACGATGCGCGCTACCCGTCCGCCGAGGCGGTTGCCCGCAACGCCCGACGCCTGGCCGCCCAGGCTGTGGCCGATGATGTACACGTCGTCCAAGTTGAGCCCGCGCTCCGCCTCCAAGTGCAGGATCACCTCGGCCAAGTACTCGCCCACGCGTCGGGAGTTGCGCTTCGAGATGGAGTACTCGCTGGTGGCGGGGCCGTTCCAGTCCACTAACACGATGTTCCAGTCCTTGCCCGTGTCGATGTAGGCTGCGACACACAATAGACCCATGCTTGTCATCGAGGTTGCTAATGGACTGCGTTGCTCAGTGCGACGAGCGTATGTGCAGTGCGTGAAATACCTTGACGGATGGGGTCCATCTGTTTGTGGCTGGACGTCCAACCGTGAAGGATGAAGCGTGTGGGGTTGGCGGGGTTAAAACTCGGAGACTTCGACGGGTCGGATTGGAGGATGTACTCCGGTGTTGATGGATTGTTCCTGAAACCAGAACACTGAATCAGATGTGCGCTTTTGGCCCTCTATTGACAACCGTACAGCTGGAAGTTTGTGTCGTACTCACTGAGTGTAGAGCATGAGATCGACATTCTTTTCGCCGTTGAAAAAGGGCACGGGGGTGTCCTCCGGCTCCACGTCCAGCAGGTCCACCATGTGCAGGTTACCCTCGGAGTCGGGCACCCACATGAAGCGCTCGCCGGCAGGCACCGCCGCCGCTGCAACCGCAAGCAATCTTTGACCGCCGAACATTACCGCTTAGACCTAACCCCCTTCCCCAGCATCATGAGCCCAGCAGTCTCCCATTTGAAGTTAGTGCTTTATTTTAGCTGGTGGGACATCAGGCGTCCTCCATCTGACAACGCAAATTTCGCGAATTCCTTTCACCATTTGGCGGAGAACGATGATGGGCGATGAAACATACTATTTATAATTTTGCTCAGAGGCTACTTTTAGGTTTGATATTTTACATGCAGTGTATCTACAACATGGAACAAACAGCTTTACTTCCCCTTCGAAGGAATGCGTATGAAGGGTTTATCGCCCTTAAAAATCCACGGCTTTGGTCGGGTTTGAACCCGCAAACGTTTGTGCAACAGCCACTGAACCCACGAAAAAGGTTGAAGGGCGGGTTTTCGATGTTCTGCGCACGCGCAGTTCGAGTTTTGTATCGTTTGTGGATTTGTGCATTTACGCATGCGCATAACATCGAGATTGCAGTCAATTGCTCTACGCTATGCCGTGCACAAACTCCCTATTAACAACCTAAGATGCCTTTGGAGTGACCAGTGGTATAGAGCATTATCCAACTGCGCAGAGGCGAAAACTGAGAGTTAGGCTGCTTCACCAAATGATTGTGGCTTGATTCACTTCTTTACCATGTAACCTCTTCTGGGAATCTGAATGTTGTACCATATATAGTACCTTTCTTGATCAGTTCCCTTACTGATCATAATCGAGAACACCTAATTGTGCTTTATATTGCGGCAAGCTATGACAACTGTGATCCCCTGCCCGAGTGAGGTATATCAAAAAGAGCGTACCTATCCCTTACCCTTGCTCCGAATTTATTAAAGCGTACGAGAAATAAAATCGCTCTATCAAATATTTACTAAGACATTGCATTTGATTGCATTTCCTATTTGATTGCATTAGGATTGATAACCCCTAACACCTTGCGCTCATTCGCTCGTGAAATAAAATCACTGTATCAAATATTAACTGACACTACATTTCATTGCATTGTGATTGTTAACCCTAACACCTTGCGCTCATTCATTCCGTTGCGATGTGGATCTCACCTCCACTGGGGACTTACCGGCGTCCGCCAGGAAGAGGGCGGCGACGGCGAGCGCGCAGGCGACGGCGCAGAGGCGGAGGGCTGTCATGGTGGGTGCTGCCAGAAGCGGTGCCACCGTCGCCTTTTTAAGGCTCCAAGTAAGTGGTGGAAGGGGAGGGGGCGGGAGCGATCGCAGAGCGAATCCACGGTAGCCGCTAATCCGCCGCTGATAAGCTTGTCACTTGCCGCGCGTCAAGACCCTTCCACCAACGCTTCCGTGCGCACTCGCTTTGTGTAATCGATAGCATCTGCGGAGGCCTCTCGACCTACGACACCTGCGTATGCCGCGAGTATTTTTGAACGCTTTTGATGCCCTGGATTACAGCGAACTTTCTCCTCATCAATATGGAAGAGATCGATATCTTTTGATGTCCACGTCGATTGACCTCTGAGATATAAAAAAATAATAATTTAAGAATTGCGCGCGGCATTATATAGCATTTTGAGAAGAATGGAAAATTAATTTAATACAATACGTTGTGAGTTTTGGAAAATGATTTTTTTTCAAACTCATTATTTTACTGCAAACCCGAATAGCATAGGAAGCTCTTTCGCAAATGCTCTACACTAAGGTTATGTCTCGCAGTGATGGTATCGTATCAGGTAAAGGCAAACCACTAGTAACGCGCATAAGTATTTAAAATATTCATTACTTCATAAATTATTACAAAAGCCAATTAAATATTCTCGAAATTTGGTCGCCAATGTCTTTTGAATGGTAGTTCAAGAACGCTTGGAAATTATAAAATGTATTCGTTTCTGTCTTTTCCCCTGGGTTTATTTACGTATCCAGTTTATTTTCAACAGTAAGTAAACACTCTAAAAGTACCTTTTGGCGCGAAAGCTTTCTAACATACGTAATGCTGTTAAGTAAATTATAACCAGATTAAAAATATTGAAAATTGAAGGCAAAATCCGCTATCTACAATGCTTTGAATAAATATTAGTATACTAATTTATTTTTTGTACACATGCATTATAAACAACTTTTTCATTACAAAAAAATCGTTCACAAAATGGCATTTTATGGCACAAATTATCATGCATTAGTAGTTCACGGGAGCGGATACCTTCGTGGGCTTCAACCTCACACACTCTTGTAGTACCAGGGGGATTGTTCCCCAAAGTGGGTACCTAAATTCTATGGCCTTATTCCACACACCCCTCGGGCGTACATGTACACCTTCGGACTGGTATCCGGTAGGGACGCCTCTCCAATTAAGGACGAAGCCAAGTATCCAACTGGAGGGTAGCCCAAACCGAAACCCAGGTGGGTCGGGGGCCCATTTTGTCTTCTTACTATATTCACCTTGACGCTATCGACCTGAGTATCGCCGGAATCTAGGCAAGTTGATAGAGGATTTTTATTTGTTGCGTCTGGATTGAAGCCACGCGTCTCCAAGCCCCTTGGGGCGTTGAGCGCTTTGCACTTGAAGTAATTCACTATTAACATTATCTGTCTTTGTCACGTCTCGTCGCAGCCAGTTGTCAAAAGGACCGCGAAGTAGCATCTGCGTGTATGCGCCTCCTACTATGAGCTCCTGCGTCACTACCCAGCGGACAGATTTGGGAAGGAATTAGGATAGGGGTAGGGTTTAGGACACTTTACAGGGATTGGACTAGCCCTTGTGAAACAGCCAAGATAGTTTGGTTGGAACAAATTTCACATCGTACTGTCCCAAATAAGAGAGTTCCCGTTCCCGTGGAATCGAACTCGGGCCTCCTTGGCACCCAATAATACTCAAAGATCGGCGGCGTACCGCTTTTTGTTTGCTTACCCGAAGGTTTGTGTGACTGTAGTTGTGATCCAGTTCGCACGCATTCCGCGTTTTACTCCTGAGTGTAAGTGGCTGGTATGGGTTCGCCTCGGACCTTAGTCAATAACCAGATAGGCTTTTGTGCTGCACTACGTCCTCAGAATATCAGAGGGGAGTGCTTCTCTTCTTTGTCCTATAGTGAGGACGTGTCGAGCTAATTGTTTCAGCGTTGTCGGAGCCTCTGTTGGTTTGAAACGCTTGATAGGCTTCTTAAAACGAAAGTCGTCTCACACATTGAGTGAAGGACTCGATATCAAGTTTCTTCCTCAGTATTTTCAACAATTTCCTAAACGAAGGACGTCCTATGAGCCGTACACCTTTGTTCTGTACTATCTCAAGTGTATCCTTGTACTTCTGTGCTGTGGTCCACCACGTTGCCGCAGCGTAGATGGCCACAAGCCGGCAACACGTTTTACAGAGTGTTGTTTAGAGTTACAGAGTTAACAAAATTAAGCGAAAAATATTCAAATTTTCGAAAAATTGCACATGACTTTATTTCAAAATATAAGGAACAGATTTCATTAAAGGGAAAGATAAAATTTCACGTCATTCCTGATATATTTCAAAATAAGTCTATTCAGAACGTGTATACCAAGCACAAACAATTAGTTCTGTGCTATGAACTCGTGTTTTGGCCCTCTGCACAGCAACACAGTGGGCTCGCTGAGTGCGCTCTCCCGCCGCTCGTGAGAAGGCACGAGTGGGCAGCACACATCACACACGAGGCCACATACACATTTCATGTAGAAGCCGCCACAGCGCGCCGTCCGCTGGGGCGATAGTGATGGAGAACCAGTCTCAGAGAAAAGGGTTCCTCTCCAGTCATTCCGATCACGACAAGAACAACTTGTTCTTAACAGACGTGAAGGGTCTCTTTAAATGTTTGCTAACAATTTGAGATATTTAGTTTTCTAACGTTATCGGACATTTACTTTTTTGAGATTTATTTTTCTTACAGCTAAAACTTACAACTTTGCCTTGATTGTCTACTGCAAGTTTATCTTTAGCGTTGAACTTCAAATAATAAAATAAGTTTACTTATTCAATGTTTCAAAATGTACACGAAATTTTATTTTATTAAAAAGAGATAAAAGATTGATTACAGAAAATTAAAGGCTGATTTTTAAATACTTGCCAATGCTACACTTGCGTAGCATGTGAGGCTGATCTCAAGACCAAATAGTGATAAACTTGTTTGTTCTTATTTGTGTAAAAAAAATTTTAAAGATGATTCATTGTGATATTTATTTATTACTCCACACTCACAAAAAAGACACTTGCCATTCTTCCTCAAGCTAGAGCAAACGTACTTCAAGTTCTGTGGCAATTAATACTACAAGAGGGTTTGGTTGGCACCTCTTGACTTAATGTCTTGTAAGGAACATTTATGCCCAAGGCGGGACTCTAACCGCGACCCTTTGGGCCGAAGCACTCAGTCGGTACATGCCTTTAGCCACTTCGGCCCACCAGGTCTGCTGAGAATTATGTTTAAGGGCCCCTTCCCACGTGCAGAGGGCGTCCGCTGCTGCGGCAAGCGGCGGAGGACTCTCGCTACGCGAAGCGGAGGAGAGGGTACGCACCACCGCTAGCAGAACACAGCTTTCGATGGTAGCCTTCCCACTACGGCCCCCAGTCGCTGCGTTTTACATGCTGCGGTCCCTTTGTCCGTCGTCGCCGAAGGGTCGGCGAAGAGCCCTGCCGCTTGACGGACGCGCGCTGCCGTGGCGGCGTGGGAAGGCGCCCTAAGTAAAGCCGTGGCTCGCAACGGCGAGGCAGCACTCCATTCATTTACGAAACATCCATGCCCAAGGTGGGACTCGAACTCGCGACCCTTTGGACCGAAGCGCTGAGTCGGTACATGCCCTTAGCCACTTCAGCCATCCAGGTCTGCTGAGAATTATGTTTAAGAGCCCCAACCACTTTAAGCCGGTTGAGGGGTGGGGCCGTTCCGCACCCTCTCCGTGTACGGCTGGCAGTGACATAAAATAGGTCACAGGTAACCACGGACGGTCACAGGACGCCACGTCTGGATGGCGACCAGAACCCGAAATAATGAATAAAAATTAATAAATTCCATTATTCAGCAATGTAGAGCG